ACACCTTTTCGTGGCGGTCGCAATTTTAGATTTTCGATTTACCCCCAGTACCTTCCCGTAAGACGTAGTCAACGTCAAAAAAATCAAAGTAGGCTAAGCCGCCAACCTTACTCTTCGGGGGATTATTGTAATATATAAATAATAGATTAACATTGCAGTTTACCCAAATGTCATCGAAATGAAAATAAAGCTTATGCAGAGGAAGCAACAACCATACATAATATTATACTTTTGCATATATTTATTATACAGGGTACTTCTCGTCATGCATGACATCATTGAGATTCAATTTTCATCTTATTGGTAGTCTTGTTAGTTACTCATCACCCTTGTTTCATTATTTTAAAGAGAGAAAATCAAGATCTGAGCTAAATAGTGAAACGTATTTATTTGTCTATAACCTTGACATTTCAGTGTAACATTCACCTGTCATTGTGAGCTGATGAGACATATAGCTGTATCTTATTATATGTACTATATTATTTCAAAATTTTATTCATATAAATATAATTTAATAATTTTATATTTTAATGCTCAAATAAAATTCATTTTTCCAACACGTATATTTACTTTATATAAACTAATACTGGGTTGAGAAGGAACATCAGGGTATCATTAAACCTGGAACTGGACAACGGAGTAGGATGACAACCAGAGTCTAGGAGGGACTAAACACTATCATTTTCTTTATCCTACCGATTCAATTTTGGTGGTGTGAATTCTACTCCAGCAGTTTCAGTAAGATTGACGCGCCCTTCTTATCAAACCATCCTGTAGAAAGCTTAATAAGTATTGCGAATTGCGTTATTCGATTTGCTACATCGTATCGTTGGAAGGAGATTCTTAAATTCCCGTGAATTTTGCGTGAGTGTCTTTGCTTACGGGTCCATCCCTCCTTTTTTGGCTGTTCATACAGCTATATTGTGAATTCAAATCGTAAGCTCAAATTGATCTTGCTATTAATTGGAGCTGCATACAAGACAAGATCTTCGAAGGGATTGTGGCTACCTTACATACAAAAGGCTCCCATTTTAAATAAGCTGATCCTGAATAAATCTACACTGACTCTCAAATATTATGATCAACATTATGATAAACAGTCTCCTGCTGTAAATTCATGAACTTTGATACCCATATTGCAGGGGTCTCTTCCCAAACACTTCTATGGCCACTAGAGGCCCTACGGAAACCAACTCCGGAATGGCCGTCCCGGGGACAATCCAACAGATGATCACAAAATTATGATAAACAGTCTCCTGCTGTAAATTCATTAATTGTGATACCCATATTGCAGGGGTCTCTTCCCAAACACTTCTATGGCCACTAGAGGCCCTACGGAAACCAACTCCGGAATGGCCGTCCCGGGGACAATCCATCAGATGATCACAAAATTATGATAAACAGTCTCCTGCTGTAAATTCATTTATTGTGATACCCATATTGCAGGGGTTTCTTCCTAAACACTTCTATGGGCACTGGAGGCCTAACAGGAACCTACTCCGGAATGGCCGTCCCGGGGACAATCCATTGGATGACCACAAAATTATGATAAACAGTCTCCTGCTGTAAATTCATGAATTGTGATACCCATATTGCAGGGGTTTCTTCCTAAACACTTCTATGACGAATAGAGGCCCTACGGGAACCTACTCTGGAATGGCCGTCCCGGGGACAATCCATCAGATGATGACAAAATAATGATAAACAGTCTCTTGCTGTAAATTCATGAATTGTGATACCCATATTGCAGGGGTTTCTTCCTAAACACTTCTATGGGCACTGGAGGCCTAACAGGAACCTGCTCCGGAATGGCCGTTCTGGGGACACTCCATCGGATGTTCACAAAATTATGATAAACAGTCTCCTGCTGTAAATTCATGAATTTTGATACCCATATTGCAGGGGTTTCTTCCCAAACACTTCTATGGCCACAAGAGGCCCTACGGGAACCTACTCCAGAATAGCCGTCCCGGGGACAATCCATCAGATGATCACAAAATTATGATAAACAGTCTCCTGCTGTAAATTCATGAATTGTGATACCCATATTGCAGGGGTTTCTTCCTAAACACTTCTATGGGCACTAGAGGCCCTACGGGAACCTACTCCGGAATGGCCGTTCTGGGGACAATCCATCGGATGATCACAAAATTATGATAAACAGTCTCCTGCTGTAAATTAATGAATTGTGATACCCATATTGCAGGGGTTTCTTCCTAAACACTTCTATGGGCACTGGAGGCCTAACAGGAACCTGCTCCGGAATGGCCGTTCTGGGGACAATCCATCGGATGATCACAAAATTATGATAAACAGTCTCCTGCTGTAAATTCATTTATTGTGATACCCATATTGCAGGGGTTTCTTCCCAAACACTTCTATGGCCACTAGAGGCCCTACGGGAACCTACTCCGGAATGGCGGTCCCGGGAACAATCCATCAGATGATCACAAAATTATGATAAACTGTCTCCTGCTGTAAATTCATGAATTGTGATACCCATATTGCAGGGGTTTCTTCCTAAACACTTCTATGGGCACTGGAGGCCTAACAGGAACCTGCTCCGGAATGGCCGTTCTGGGGACAATCCATCGGATGATCACACAATTATGATAAACAGTCTCCTGCTGTAAATTCATGAATTGTGATACCCATATTGCAGGGATTTCTTCCTAAACACTTCTATGGGCACTGGAGGCCTAACAGGAACCTACTCCGGAATGGCCGTCCCGGGGACAATCCATCGGATGACCACAAAATTATGATAAACAGTCTCCTGCTGTAAATTCATGAATTGTGATACCCATATTGCAGGGGTTTCTTCCTAAACACTTCTATGGGTACTGGAGGCCTAACAGGAACCTACTCCGGAATGGCCATCCCGGGGACAATCCATCAGATGATGACAAAATTATGATAAACAGTCTTCTGCTGTAAATTCATGAATTGTGATACCCATATTGCAGGGGTTTCTTCCTAAACACTTCTATGGGCACTGGAGGCCTAACAGGAACCTGCTCCGGAATGGCCGTTCTGGGGACAATCCATCGGATGATCACAAAATTATGATAAACAGTCTCCTGCTGTAAATTCATGAACTTTGATACCCATATTGCAGGGGTCTCTTCCCAAACACTTCTATGGCCACTAGAGGCCCTACGGGAACCTACTCTGGAATGGCCGTCCCGGGGACAATCCATCAGATGATGACAAAATTATGATAAACAGTCTCCTGCTGTAAATACATGAATTTTGATACCCATATTGCAGGGGTTTCTTCCTAAACACTTCTATGGGCACTGGAGGCCTAACAGGAACCTACTCCGGAATGGCCATCCCGGGGACAATCCATCAGATGATGACAAAATTATGATAAACAGTCTTCTGTTGTAAATTCATGAATTGTGATACCCATATTGCAGGGGTTTCTTCCTAAACACTTCTATGGGCACTGGAGGCCTAACAGGAACCTGCTCCGGAATGGCCGTTCTGGGGACAATCCATCGGATGATCACAAAATTATGATAAACAGTCTCCTGCTGTAAATTCATGAATTTTGATACCCATATTGCAGGGGTTTCTTCCCAAACACTTCTATGGCCACAAGAGGCCCTACGGGAACCTACTCCGGAATGGCCGTCCCGGGGACAATCCATCGGATGATCACAAAATTATGATAAACAGTCTCCTGCTGTAAATTCATAAATTTTGATACCCATATTGCAGGGGTTTCTTCCCAAACACTTCTATGACGACTAGATGCCCTACGGAAACCAACTCTGGAATGGCCGTCCCGGGGACAATCCATCAGATGACCACAAAATTATGATAAACAGTCTCCTGCTGTAAATTCATGAATTGTGATACCCATATTGCAGGGGTTTCTTCCTAAACACTTCTATGGGCACTAGAGGCCCTACGGGAACCTACTCCGGAATGGCGGTCCCGGGGACAATCCATCAGATGATCACAAAATTATGATAAACAGTCTCCTGCTGTAAATTCATGAATTGTGATACCCATATTGCAGGGGTTTCTTCCTAAACACTTCTATGGGCACTGGAGGCCTAACAGGAACCTGCTCCGGAATGGCCGTTCTGGGGACAATCCATCGGATGATCACAAAATTATGATAAACAGTCTCCTGCTGTAAATTCATGAATTTTGATACCCATATTGCAGGGGTTTCTTCCCAAACACTTCTATGGCCACAAGAGGCCCTACGGGAACCTACTCCAGAATAGCCGTCCCGGGGACAATGAATCGGATGACCACTAAATTATGATAAACAGTCTCCTGCTGTAAATTCATGAATTTTGATACCCATATTGTAGGGGTTTCTTCCTAAACACTTCTATGGGCACTGGAGGCCTAACAGGAACCTGCTTCGGAATGGCCGTTCTGGGGACAATCCATCGGATGATCACAAAATTATGATAAACAGTCTCCTGCTGTAAATTCGTAAATTTTGATACCCATATTGCAGGGGTTTCTTCCCAAACACTTCTATGGCCACTAGAGGCCCTACGGGAACCTACTCCAGAATGGCCGTCCCGGGGACAATGAATCGGATGACCACAAAATTATGATAAACAGTCTCCTGCTGTAAATTCGTAAATTTTGATACCCATATTGCAGGGGTTTCTTCCCAAACACTTCTATGGCCACTAGAGGCCCTACGGGAACCTAATCCAGAATGGCCGTCCCGGGGACAATCCATCGGATGACCACAAAATTATAGTTGAAGATGCTAATTTCAAATAACAGACTGTAGTGGTAATTTTTATACGATAGATGGAGTAGATGAAAGCATAGAGTTGATAGTTCCGTTAGAGTACGGCAGTGTGAAGATTGCATATCGATATTAGAATAGCGAGCTAGGACAACTTTTAAGGAAGGTACAAATCGGTTTTTTCATCTCTCTTTACCAAACTCCCTCTTTGGAGAGGGATGGTGAGGGGTGTCCCCCCCCCGCCACCACTGGCCAAATATCGCATACTTTACTGATCCCAGCTGTCCCTATCTGATGGCTTTTCTTGATCCTGCCTGGTCTCCTCGGCAGTCAGAGATGGAGAGAACACCGATCCCAAAGCATCGACATTGCTCGAGTTCATGTCGGTACACTTGTTCCGGAACTGCTCCTCAGCCGGTGCTGGCCCGGTATCTTCTGCATCAATCAGGGCTAGCAGAGCTTTCGCTTCACCGCCGCCGTTACCGTCGTGGCCCTCTTCATACACTTCTTCCAAATCGTCGTAAATTTCCTCCGTTGCGTAGATGTCGTACCCAAACTCGTCCAAATAGTGTCCATCGTCGATAAACTCCACCAGTTCCATGTTGGCACCCAGGTTCAGCCCCTGATAGAAGTCGTCGTCAATGTGCAGGTCCTCGGTGGATTTGGCGTTCTGAAATTGTTTTATTTATCAAATGATCAGTAATGCATGAATTCGAGAATAGTGGTAAGACAGATCTTACTGGAATTATTGTTAGAGTTCCACGGGGTAGCTGCTGCTGCGAGATTAGTCCCAAGTTGTCCTCGAACATTGAAGCTAAACTTTCGCGAGGAAAATTTAACTCACTAAATGCGGCTGACATTCCGATGCGACTTCCGGAGGGCACTGTGAAGAAAATTAGAAGTCGATAAACTTGACATCAATGCTCTACAAAATAATTTCAGATAGTTCGCCAAAATTCCTTTGAAATTTTACATTTATCTACTTCTTCTGGAAGATCTCGAGATTCATCTCAATGTCCCTAAAATATCTTCCCATCTCCTACAGACTATACTCACCATTCAGACTATCGGCGGGTACCATCGAGCTTCCGCAGTTGCAACAAATGAATCGTTCCACGGCGTTACGATTAGCACCTGTGCCACCACCACCTCCCGAATGTGCCTTCACCGGGGTACACAAACTTCTCCGATCGTCATTACGGCTGGAACACCTGGATCCACCTACATCCTCACTGCTGGGTACCATCCTCAGCTTAGCAAATGCCTTCAACAACTCATTTCCACAGGAATGTCGAATCGGTGCAGTGGCCACTGGCCAGTGGTGGTGTGGGAGGGGGGGAGGGACACCCCTCACCATCCCTCTCCAAAGTGGGAGTTTGGTAAAGAGAGATGAAAAAACCGATTTGTACCTTCCTTAAAAGTTGTCCTAGCTCGCTATTCAAATATCGATATGCAATCTTCACACTGCCGTACTCTAACGGAACTATCAACTCTATGCTTTCATCTACTCCATCTATCGTATAAAAATTACCACTACAGTCTGTTATTTGAAATTAGCATCTTCAACTATGTAAATCGTTGACTTCACGTAGAAGTAATACTAAAACATATAGTCAAAGCACAAAATTATGATCAACAGTCTCCTGCTGTAAATTCATGAATTTTGATACCCATATTGCAGGGGTTTCTTCCCAAAACACTTCTATGGCCACTAGAGGCCCTACGGGAACCTACTCCAGAATGGCCGTCCCGGGGACAATCCATCGGATGACCACGAAATTATGATAAACAGTCTCCTGCTGTAAATTCATGAATTTTGATTATTAGAGATGAACCAGCCTAAGGCTGAAAGTCTCGTTAATGAAGGAAAAAAAAAAATGAATTTTGATACCCACATTGCAGTCCTCAAGTAAGCTGAAATTGTTTTTGAAGGAAATGCTGATACTTTGATATCGATTCCTTCAAAATTCTAGCGAAAGTGCCAAAAAAAAAATGCTTAGTTCTGAAACACTATACAGAAAATCCTGATTTTCGGGAACCAGACTATTCCGGATGGACATTGTTTGCAATGTCCAGAAAGAAGGTAAGTTTCTGAATCCATTGGTGCCAAAAGATTCAGAATCTGTTAAAATTGACCGCAGTAGCAAGCAGTTCAATTTTGTGGGTAACCGGGTACCCTTGTCGAGCTTTTTAAGGGTAAAAAATTTCACGACCCCCCCCCCTTTCGAAGCCCCTTGCTGCAATTTGAATTCTTTCTTCACGAAAAGTTGTCACTCCATGAGTTCTAAGATGTCATTGAATTCTGGTTTCCTGTCGTGAAAATAACTTCATAATTTATTAACTTGAAATCTGAAAAGGTACCCGGGTACCCTGTCGATCACATAAGGGTTAAAATGTGGAATGGGAAAATGTCTATGAATTGCTAAATTTTCTCCAAACCTGGGGCTTTTGACAAAATTATAACTTTTTGCACAAATGTTGAATCGATTTGCGGTCTTCAACGAAGTTGTTCTGTATAGTCTATCTCGCACATCCAGATTGAATCCAAATTCTTTTGGCACCACCACTGGGGACCTCAACACGCATCGAAAGAGCTATGGGGAGTAGGGGGTTGTTTTGTTGACCCACCCTAATATGCAGTCAGTCTAAGCTAAGCTAATTTTGAAACTACTATTTCAGGTGTATAGCTTTTGTTATTTCCATCAACATTAACATTTATTACAACATGACCGACCACATGACACGTCTCAACAAACCTCACAGTTTTTCCCTTCATTCCATCCATCAAGCCTCAAGAAATAATACGCCCAAAGATTCCTTATCAACGGCACAATTCCTGTTTGTGTTAGTAACACTTCCCACGAAAAGCTCTCCGGAAATAACATCAGTTCATGTTTCTCACCGAAATAAATTCCACTGAAGCCAAGGGCCTGACGGCCGGAAGGGAGAAAGACCACGCCATGAAAGACGATGATATCAAGAGGAATTTGGACGCCAAGATCAAATCCCGTGAAAGTAAACACCATCGCCTCCGGAAGCACCGACGATGAATGTGGCTGCCACGTTCGTTCACCGGCGGCAGCGAAGCGAAATTGTTTACGTGCTTCGAGAGTTGTACTTCTTAAGCTCATTTTCAAAAATCCTCTAATTAATTTCGGCTCCTATCCACTGCCACTCGCTTTCCCCTGCCAGAGGAGAAATGGAGCTCACTCGCTTGGGTGATTAGATGTCCTGATAGCATTTACCACCCCCACCCGACTACCACCAGCAGTGAGTTGAAGAAGCGCCTCATTTAGGTGCTTACAATAGGGCAATTTTTAATGTTTGTTTTCCCAGTGTGTAAATTTTCACTGCCACCGGAACGGGCCTTGATAAAGTTTTCCACTTTGGCCATATAGCAGCAAGCGGTAGGAAAAGTGAAAACTTTTAAAATTTTAATCTTGCTTATGTTTGGGATTACCGCCAACTGCCTCAGCCGCCCTTGGAGCGTTATCAACGGCGGACTGGGATCTCCGGGGAGCTGTTGTTCGGGTAAGGATATCGTCGATGTAGTCGTTTTAAAATAATAATTAAATTTACACATGAACGAGATGATAGAGCAGCGTGCCCAAAAGGAGGGGGTGGTAACGTGATACTCGTTAGCTTAATGAGGAGATTTAGACGGCGGAAGAATCCTATGTGGAACAATTCTATTACGAGACAGCGGCACTTTATAACGGATATGGGAACAATTTCAAGCATAATTTTAAAGATATATGGTTTAGTGAAATGCAATTGAGGCCCCGTTTGTGCGTGGTAAATCACTTGTAGGGTGTGGGTTAACAAGTTGCCTCCGTAATTGGAGCTTGGTTTGGTCTGAAACGTGACTTATTGAACCCAAAAATTGAAATACAGTCTACTCTCACCATCGTAGCAGTTATGAAATAAATGTTTACTAAGTTGCTATAACTCGATATCGAGTTACTTGACATCGAGTTGTGGAGAGTTTACTGTGTAACAAAAAATTCCAATACTATATCATATAAATATTCTTAAGTCTTTCGTATACACAGACTACATTTCAAATTCAAACCCTGAACAAATAATTTCGTACAAATAATAATAATAATAAAAATACTCCACACAACAGTGCAAAATTGTACGCATTTCTCTCCTACTTTGGTATTCATGGAACCTTCTTTCCGGTAGCAGAACCACTCAATGATGTTAGCTCGTAATAATCAAACGCGTTTACGACCTCAACCCTTGGTCGGTCATCCATCGGCCAACCAGCAGCATCAGCGGCAGAAAGTTACGACCGTGGTTCATCAAACCTAGTTCCCGATAGAAGTGGCCTGCTCGGTTAGCCAAACGATATGATGACCCATCCCGTTCACCCGGCCTTTATCCAATAAGGGAAATCAACGTCAACGTTTGTCATAACATTCCACTCACGTCCGACGACGACATAATGTTATACAGGGAGACATTTTTGAATATTCGTCCATGGGTTGTGGTTTTTTCTTTCTTCTGTGCGCATTCCGACCGTATTGTATACTCTTTTTTCCTCCAGTGACCCGGTTAGGTCACACAAGCTTACACATTTTACGACCTGGGGCCTGGGCGGGGGTCGTTGTGGTGCTTCGAGTGATCAGCACTCTCAACGACTGGCCGGTGGATGATGTTGGTGTCGGAATGTTAGGGATGTTTAGAAAAATTTCCGTTGCTTCAAAGGTTTCTTCCGAAAAACAACTGAACATCCCTGCCGCACGCAACATCCGGTCATTTCCGGAAATCATATCGAATATGACTGCAGTAATAAAAATATGATGGACATTTCATTTCTCCGGACAGCTCTGTCGTTTCTTTTCGCCGTTCCAGAAATGAATATACGGTGGTCAAGCTGGAGGTTTGACCCGGTGGGAAGTGGTGTGCAGAGAAAATTCCGTTGATGGCAGCGTTAAACGGTGGTGCTTCGGGTGGTTCAAGTCACAATGAAACGAGCAAAATAAGGGGCCAGGCCTTTGGGCTTCTAAACCAAAACTGAACTTTTCAGGACTTCACACGGACCCAGGCGGGAATAAAAATGTTGATGGGTGGTCATTTGGGGATATGATTCTGATGGTGGAGCTTCGGTACGGCTTTCTTCTGTGGAAGATGGTGTAGCCGTTCTCCAATTGCCCCTGCGTTGGTTTCATTTTGGCGTGGCAGTTGGTTAACGTGTGATTTGGCTAAGGGTTCTGATTGCGAAGGCGATGATGATGGTGATGATGATGATGATGAAAATTTTACTGCAGTCCTCGTGCTGGACGCTGGTGGAATTGATAAGCAGCTGCGTCGTGGGCTGGGTAAAGTTCGGGTGCATTGGAAAAGAAGGTTTTTTAATTGGTTTGGTGGAAGTGTTAAGTACAGTATTTGTTTAGTACGCATTTCGGTTTATTATTTTACCACTTGAGTTGTCTAATAAATTGAGTCTAACGTTGTTCTGTTTTCTTTTTCTTTCAGGTATGTATCAGAATCGACATCGTAAAACAGGTAAAAATTAACGTTGGAAGACAACGAAGCTCTTGTTGAACTATATCATCACCAAAAAGAACATGATGGCATGCATTAAAGATCTTATTAATGTGCATGTTGTCAAGAGGTTCACTGAATAATAATGATTTTCAGAAAATTGTTCAAGACTTCGTTGAGTCTGTTGAACTTCATGATCTTAGCTTCAGAATAGTTGTAAGAGCATTAAATATCTTCTTAATACACCAAAACATAAAATGTACGACATTTAATGTTAGCTGCATTTCCTGTCGTCCTCCGTTGCGAATACCGCAGCGAATGGTATAAGTTGACCATGCAGACGATTTTTTTTTAATTTTTTCTATTTCGTGTTTTGTCGACGTTTCGGCTATACCTTCTAGAAAGCATTTTTTTGTAACATTGTTGAACGACGCTCGCACTTGCCACGACTCTCTCCAATTCTCGTTTAGCAGAGAAGCATACGAAATCGAGTATGAGAGAAAATGAGCGCTACTTATTCGTGGAGAAGGCACGGGTCTTCTTCACTCTTCATTCCTTTATTTAACGTCGGTCTCTGTTCCGCAATCTAGTGCTAATCACCGACGGACATCGATTACCATCCATTGACGACAATCGAATGTGTAGGAAGGCAGCTTCCACACCTGCGTAGGATATCGCACCCGTTCAACACACACATTGGCCGGGACAAACGGCTTTACTTCCCTTCCGAAGGAAGACGTGACCAGAGATTTTATGCCTCAGAAAA